AAGCCCGGAGTGTCCCATGAGAGTCCTGCCCACCATGCTCTCTGGGGTTCACCTGGAAACTCAGTGCTCCCCACGTTGGCTTCCCAGGGCTGAGGGCCAGAGACGTGCACGCCACACTGGCTCCACTGGGCTCCACCCCCACCTCCCACCACCCATACTGGTTCCAGAGGCCCCAAGGGCAAGCGAGGATGAGGCCGCCCGCATTTACTGGGTGCCCTGCTTGTTCCAGGCTGAGGCCCTTCACCTCCTACAAACTGCGCCTGAAGGCCACCAACGACATTGGGGACAGTGACTTCAGCGTGGAGACAGACGCTGTGACCACTCTGCAGGACGGTGCGTACTCGCCACCCGAGCTGGGGGAGCCCGTTGCTGCCCCTGAAAGGGGGCTGGGGAGGGGGACCCGAGGGAGTTGAGCAGGCCGGGGGCGGCGACAGAGGATCTCAGCAGACCTCTCGCGTGTCCCCGCAGACCCACTGGCCATAAATCAGGACTGGACGGGCTCCCAGATGGGATGGAAGCCCCTCTGATTGACTTCGGAAGCCTGGGCCCTGCATTAGCATCGCAGACGTTGAATAATTTACAGACTCCTTAAAGCTGGATGTCAGAGGCTGGTGTGGTTGAGAGGGGTGTTCTCAGTCTCCCGCTTGCTCGCTCGCTCAGGAGCCGTCTGCCCGACGGCAGCACACTGAGGCCGCTGGGCTAAAGGGCGCAGGAGCCCCAGGTGGGGTTTCCAGCTCCAGGTCCTCCCGAGTGGCCTGGGCCTGGAGACATGCTGGGATTTAGTGGCGTGAGCCTGGACACAGCTCCACCCACCACGGCCAGCTCAGGGTGGGAGGGCCTGGAGCATTTGGGAAAAGGACAGAGATGATGGGGAGGGTGGGGAAGCAGCGCCAGGGCTGAGCACCTGACCTCCAGCTCCATCCAGCAGGGCTGCTGGACCATTCTCCAGCCTCCGCCAGTCCAACGTCTCCACAGGGCACCACCTTGTTCCACTCCGGACATGGAGAGAGCGCGCTTTAAACAAACCGGCCTGCATAGCCTCACCTGTGACCTCCCAGCTGAGATCGGGATGGTCAGCGTCCACGCCACCAGGCCTCACGTGCGGACAATGGTTCATAGTTGCCAGCAGGTCTGTTCCAACAGACAGAACAGGAAGAAGGCTGCCCGGTCCTGCAGCATCCTCACAACCTCCCTGTGCTGCAGCCCGTGTGTCAGTCTGTCTCCTTAAGGGTCTTCCTCTTGTCCACTGACCCTCTACTCCACCCAGCATGTGTCCTTCTCCAGGGGTCCAATGTAGCCGAGACGGCGTTCGAACCCTGCAGGAAGTAACACGGGATCAGAGCGGACGGTCTTGAACGAGATCGTCCAAGGTGCACTGAAGGCCCTAACAAGAACCGGAGGATCCCAGTTGCGATGTTTTCAGAAAGGGCTGCAAGGCTGGAGGTACTCGCTTGTCTAGGCCAGGAACGTGGAAAGCAGGCCCCCAGGCCAGCCAGCCAGAAGGCATTCACGTCTCTGGATACCTCCACAAAGGGGACCAACAGGATGGGAAACTGCCCGATAGGAGCTTAACCTTCACCCACAAGTAAAACATTTGCCGCAGATCATTCCGAAACGGTCTCCGGGCTGCACTGACAGGGAGCTGCCAGAAACTCCAGCGGGTACAGAAGAGGACGTGGAATGAGGGGTATCACCACTCAATGTCAGACGGAGTTGTGGTACAAGCAGAGGGTACCAGAAAGATCTTTCTCGGTGTTCTGTTGACTAGGCAAAGGCACTCAGCGGTGGGGGTCCTAGCAACTTCTGGATCAGGAGAATCCCACACAGCTTCGCTGTGCTCACGCCAAAACTATACCCAGGCCAGTGGGCAGTCATTTGAACACAGCGCACAGAGGACCGCGTGGTTTAATATCAGGAAAGGTGCAACCTCTCACAGACGTCATGCAGTCTGTGTGCTGGGCAGGTCATCCAAGAAGCTGGACTTGATGAAGAAGGACGCAGCGTCGGGATTGGAGGAAGGCTCGTCGCCAACCTGCGATGTGGAGATGGCATACGCTTGCTCTCTGCTTCAGGAGACTCAGAGCATCTGCTTTGTCTTCTTGAGGTGCCCTTGGAGATGTGCTGTCCAACTTTCCCTCCTTCCTGGTCCAAAAGCAGGTGTCAGGGTCTCTTCTAACATTCATTTTGGTCTGTTCTTTCAAATATATATATCGTGGCCTTTTGCTGTGGCATCGATGAGGTCCTGGGCATCCTCCCAACTCTCCTCTTGCCTCTGGTCATTCGTCAGTGCCCAGTGGCTTCAAATCAGACCTGGAGATGGTCTCTAGACTCAGGTGGCATATAAATACTCAAGGTCCCGCGTTGGCTCAAGTGGACTCATTCTCCTTCATTCAAGTCCAGCCTGAACTTGCTCACGAGCCACAGATGGTCTGTTCCCTCCGCCCTGGCCTTTGTCCTGACTGGTGTGGCGCTTCTCTGGGTTGCCTTCTCACAGATTCCTGTCCATGCCACCCAGCATGGTCCTGGTGTACAGTCGCCATTGATGCGGTCGAAAACAGGTCTGTCCACTGACTAGGTTGTTGGTCTCGCAAACGTGTATCACTAGCATCTTGTCTATCACCAAGTTCCTATTTCCCACCGGCCCGCCCTTGACCTTGGTCGCAAACTTCCGAGTTCCAAGCACCAGTGATTATCCAAGCATCTTGATAGTGTGCTTGATCAATTGCACTCTATAAATCGACGGACAGGTCTTGTCCAATTTCTTCTTCACCCTTGGCTTTGGTGGCTGATGTGTTCATCTGAGCTGTCGTGTGCTAGCTCGTCTTCCTTGTGGACGGCGGATGCCAGCCTGTCACTGACGGCATTGTGGTTCAGGAGAGATCCTGAAGTGCTCTTGCTGACGATGAACGCCATGCCCTTCTGCATCAATTGGTCCCTCCCAGCATCGCAGGCCATTCGATCGTCCGGTTCTGAGTGGTCAGCCCCCGTCCATTTGGGCTTCAAGCCTTCCACTTCACGTTTGACCTCCTCCACTTTCCCAGAGCCTGCCTTCCCGCCTCCCTGTTCCACTGGTTAGTGGCTGCTGCAGCTGCTTCCTCTCGTTCAGAGCCGTTTCTAGGAAGTAAAGAAAAATGGTACCCAGCAGGTGGAAGGAGCGAGAAACGAAACAGCACAACACCGCCTCGTCTGTGGAGCCCGTTCGTTCTGCGGCTGAACTCAGGAGGGGCTATTGCTCAAAGCCCCCTTGGTGAGGTCGAAGGAAAAGAGATAGACCCTCGAGGAGATGGGCTGGCACAGGGGCCATTGTTTCAGACTGTCATACATAGGGGCGGCTGTGAGCCGGCAGCTAGAAATTACCAGAGCGCAGCCTCACGGCTTCCGTCTAACGGGAAGCCCTGCAATTGGACCGTGTTGTGGGACCTCGGGAAGCCGAGTAAAGGGCCTGAGTGCATGTTAGAACAGTGGGCGTGGGACGTAGGGGCTGACAGAGAGATGGGCCCTGTGCTAGCTGGGCTGTAACCCTCTCCTCCTCCTGCTTTGTCCCCTAGTTCCAGGAGAGCCCCCCAGCCTGGTCTCGGTGACCCCACACACCACATCCTCAGTGCTGATCCAGTGGCAGGTGAGTGCCTGCCAGCCAGTGGGGAAGATAGTTGTGGGCAGCGTGGGGTGGCCGCTGGCCCTGGAGAAGGGTCTGAGGGCAGATCTAACCACTCGCCCTCCTTGGGCTACAGCCTGAGCGGGCAGGACGAGGCCGGTGTAGAGGTTCCCTGGAGTTAGAATGTTGACATTGACAGGCAGGCCAGCACTGCGGGGGTGGACTTGCACCTTCAGGAGGCTCCAGGGAGCAGCTGAAGCTGAGTGTGGTGAGGGGCTAGGTGCAGTATCGGTGGGGGGGTGGGGGCTGGGGACTTAGAGGGCGAAGGCCAGCTGGAGTTCAGGGTCACTGGGAATCAAAGCCTACCCCAGATGGGGTGGCCACTCCTTCACCTCTTGCCCGTCACACTCTCGGGCGGTGACCATCCGGGAGGCCCTCCTGAAATCAGTGAGGTCAACATTTACAGGGTGGAGAGCGGATTCAGTAATCCAGTCTCTGGAGTGCACCTCCCCACCCCTCCCCGACATTGATAGAGTCACCGCGGCCACTTCACTGCCTCTCTGCCTGAGTGACCGCTTCACTGAGCGGAGGTAATAGCAGCTCCTCAGGATGATCCAAAGCACTTTCTAAACCCTTGAGCCAGTTCCTGGGACTCCTCTCTGCCAGGGCAAGGGGGTGCAATGCACACACAGGGAGGGCCAGCGGGGACTCCCCAGCCCGATGCCACACCCCACCCTCTCACTTCTCCAGGCCACACCCTCACGCCATGTCTTCCCACCACCAATTTGCCCCTGGGCAGTGGTGACCCTGAGGGACCCCTCCCCAGTCCCAGGTTTCTCTGTGAAACAGGCCACAAAGGTCTTTGTAAGATGTGATCCAGAAGAAAGCCCAAGTGGCGCAGTGGTTACATACCCAGATGCTAACCCAGTAGGTCAGCGGTTCGAACCCCCCAACAGCCCCTTGGGATTAGCAGCCCCAGAAACCCACAGGGGCCGTTCTACTTGACTCCAGGGCAGTGGGTTTGGCATGGGGTTTTCATGGTAGAATGAAGAGACCCTTGTGGCTCCGTACATTAAGTGTTGGGCTGCCAACCAAAAGTTCAGCGGTTCAAGCCCGCCAGCCGCCCCAAGGGGAGAGATGAGGCTGCCTGCTCCTGGAAAGAATCCCAACCTCGGAAGCCCACAGGACAGCTCTACTCCAGTCAGACTCAACCAGAGCGTGGTGGGATCGGTGTAGTTTAACGTCTGATACCAGGTCCTGGTACTTCTGAACTCGGGGCTTCAGATCCCGCTGGGCTCTGGCCTTGGGTGGGAGGGGGGAAATGGGAAAATCCAAAGAGAGGCTTCAATAGCCCACCTTCCACAAGTATGTTGTGCTCTTGGAAGCCCTGGTGGCATCGTGGGTTACACATGGAACTGCTAACCACAAAGTCAGCAGTTCAAAACCACTAGCCGCTCTGAGGCAGAAAGATGGGGCTTTCTACTCCCATACAGAGGGACAGGCTCAGAAACCCATGGGGCAGCTCTGCCCTGTCCTGTACGGTGACTGTGTGAGTGTGGTTTTGACCGATGTTAGTTGCTGCAAAGTGGAGGGCTTGCTTGTCCCTGCGTGGCCGAGGGCAGGGTTTGTCTGGCATTAATCTGAGCAGCAGGAGCCCTGGTGTCACAGTGGTTGGGCCAGCCCACTGACAGAAGGCTGGCGGTTCAAACCCACCAGCATGTTCACAGGAGAAAGATTCTGGGCCCCGGCAGCACTTGTTGGGGTCTGGCCGGAGGAAGGTGGGGTTTCGGGACCATCCCCTGGCTCGGAGCAACTTGTTCACACTCCAGGGGCATCGGAGGGACGTGGCAGGACACAGACTCCTGCAGTGGCACATGGCTAAGACTTGGAATTGGCCCTGGCCTCACCTGGGCACACGCTACAGGAGGAGAGTGACCAGTGTCAGAGCCCAGCCAGACAGATCCCAGGACCAGCTACCTGGAAGCCTCCACGCTACCTGGAAGCCTCCACTCTGCATATGGAGGCTAGGGGCTTCGGGCAGGGGGTGGTGGTAGGGGGACTCATTTGGTTTCCAGCTGCTCCTGGATCTGGGTGACTTGGCTCTGGTGTACCTCCAGGGGCAGTGACTTGGCCCTTCATCTGTCCATCCATCCATCCATCCATCCGCATCCTTAGTACCCCGACTGGTAGCTCTGTGCTCAAGGGCATGGCCCTCACGAGGCCACAGCAAAGCCCTGAGTTGGTCCTCTCCCCCCCGGGGACCCCCGTGGGCGGCCTCCATCATCCTGCCCCACCTCGTGACTGAAAGTGGAGCGGCTGCAGGTGCATAGGGAACGACGGAGAGTGGCTTTGAAGGTGACCTCTGGGCAAGCATGCTGGGCCCACACTTCAGAGACCAGCGGTACCTCTGATCTGCCAGCTCCCGCTGCTGCTGACCCACCCCAGCCAGCAGGCCCACACAGATGAAGGAGGGCCTTCTGGCTGTCCAGACCTGGCCCTTGAGATCCTGGGCAGCACCGGATAGCTCCCCACCTGGCCAGCAGGGCCTGCAGCAGGCAGCAGGGGCTGCAAGGGATACCGTCTTCAGCCGGGACTCATGCGTTGTCGATTAGTGACCCAGCAGGGTCAGGCTGAGGCCCGGGGGTCTCGGAAAACCCCCCTTCTCTGTGCTCATTCCTCACAGGCAGTGGGGGTTGGGAGGGGCCTGTGGCTCAGTGCTGAAGGGTGCAGTTGCTGAAATGCTGGAAGCTGGAACGCAGGACAGGGCTCTGGAGAACGGGAGGTACTCTCCCTCCCCCTCTGTCTCTGTGTCTCTCTCTTAATCCCTCTCTCCTCTCTCTTTTCTCTGCCTCTCTGTACCTCTTTCTCTCTGTGTCTCTGTTGCCCTTCTGCCCTTGGAGAGCTATCTCCCCATGACCCATATCTGCCCTGTCATTTCCGCAGCCTTCTTTCTCTCTCCATCACTCTCGGTGTCTCTGTTTCTCTCTCTCTTATTTCCCCCCCCCCCTTTCTCTGCCTGCCTGTCTCTCACCCTGATTCTCTCTCTCTCTCCCTACCTCTCTGCTTCCCTCTGTCTCCCTCTCCATTGCTCTATGCCTCTCTTTCTCCAGCTCTCTGTATTTCTCAGCATCTCTTCCCGTTGTCTTGCTCCCTCAAAGGTGGCCCATATCCACCCGGCTGTCTGTGCAGGTCTCTCTCTGTCTCACCCTCTCTCCTTCTCCATTGTCTTGGGGTAGGTGTCCTTGCTCCCCGGACATCTCCTGTATCCCCCTGTATTCACCTATACCCTCCTGTATCTACTCTGTATCCTCCTTTATCCACTTGTATGCACCCTGTATCCATCTGTATCCTCCTGTATCCACCTGTATGCACTCTGTATCCTTCTGTTTGTACCCTGTATCCACTTGTATCCACCCGTATCCACCCTGTATCCACCTGTATCCTGCTGTATCCACCCTCTATCCTCCTGTATTCATCTCTATCCTACTGTATCCACCCTCTTATCCTACTATATCCACCTCTGTCCTCTTGTATCCACCTGCATCTACTCTCTCTTAACCCATAGCCTCCTGTGTCCATCTGTGTCCATCTGTGTCCACCCAGCTGTCCATGCTCCTTTTTCATCTCAGCAGTTTTGCCATCATGACTTCCTGCCCAGGGGGTCTCCAGGCTGCCATCTCTTGGGAGCAGACCCACTGGTGGGTTTGAACCTCTGACCTCTCAGTCAGCAGCTGCACACTGAACCCTTAGACCACCGGGCTCTTTGTCCCCAGAAAACCTTCCACTGTTGAGTCAGTTCTAGCTTCCAGCAGTCCCTAGGACACAAGGGAGGGGCAGACTTACCTAGCCTCCCACCCCCTTTTCAGAAAAAAAGACTCACCATCCCCCTGGTAACTACAGTTGATGCTTCATCCAGCGTCAAGTGCAGGTGCTGCTGGGTCATCCCAGCACTGCCCCCCAGGGGAGCACTGCTATCCAGGGTTGCCGACGCTGTACCTCTTTAGGGAGCAGACCGCCTCATCTTTCTCCCTCGGAGCAGCTGGTGGGTTTGAACCATTGAGCTTTCAGTCAGCAGCCCAGTACCTAACCCACAGCGCCACCAGGGCTCCTTCTGTTTGAAGTCGGGCTCCCTAGGCTCCCTATTACAATGCTCTGGCTGTGGTGTTGGAAGGACTCGGGCACAAAACTAGGCTTCAAAGAAAAGCCTTCGCTCTCTCCCATAAGAGAATCCCAGATGGGAACTGAAGTGGGAAAGTGCCGGTCGCTCTCCCTTGCCCGCAGACAATTAAAGGTGTACTTGGGTGTGTGCCGCGTGCACACACACACACAGGCTACCTTTCTACCCAGCTCTCCGCACAGCTGGCTTGCAGAGGCAGCTGTCGGGGGAGGATTGGCAGGTGGGGGAGCAAGAGTTCATGGACAGGAGGGTGGCCCCGCATGTACGCGTGGATGATGAAAACAGGAGCACAGCGAGGGTAAAGTACTGGGAGGAAGGGGGGCCATTGGCACGTAAAACCGATACGGAAGTGTGGAGAGCAGGGCAGTTTCGCCAACTTGTCATGCCCTTCCTCCAGCAACTTCCGGAAGCCCCCTTGAGTCCACCACAAAACCACAGCAATCAACAGCTCTGTGCGTTTAGTTCATGGACGGTGGACTTCGGCTCAACCAGCTTCCTCCTGCCGCGCCGTACCATGCGGTCCAACTCACAGCGCCCTGGGCCAGAGTAGACCTGCTCCCTGGGCTTCCCAGGCTGTACATCGTCATGGAAGGGGAAAGCCTCAACCTTCTCTCGCGGAGCAGCTGGTGGTTTCAAACCGCTGGCTTTGTGGTTAGCTGCCCAACATATAACCCACAGTCACCGCCCAACATATAACCCACAGACACCGGGGAGTGAGGGGACCCTGACTCACAGTGATCCTAGAGGGCAGGGTAGAACCGCTCTAGGGGTTTCCAAAGCTGTGATTCTTGCCAAGAGGAGAAAGCCTGCTCTTTCTCCCCTGGAGCAGCCAGTGGGTTCAAACAGCTGGCCTTGGGCTTAGCAGTCTGGTGCATCAGCTCCTGGGTCCCCAGGCTGCTGGACAGGAGACTGACTGGAAGTCTGAGTTGGGCAGAGGGGGGCTGACCTGGGATGAGGAGTGCTCAGGGCGGGCTCCCCACAGCGTGGGTGACCGGCTGGGGTGGAGGGGGTGAGGAGGGTCAGCCAGTGGCCATTCTGGAGCCAGGCCAGGCTCTGCGGCCTCTGCCACCTTAGCAGGCATCTTCCGCACACATCTGTGTCCAGTGATGAGCCCAGTCTGTGCGGCTTGGTGCAACATGAGGTGTGCACACGCACGCTCCGGGTGGGAGGGCGGGGGCTGGCCCCTGTGAGGTCCGAGAGGCTGAAGGCCGGCTGCCCGGTGAACTGTGACCACATCCTGCTGGGCACCCTTGTGCGTGTGGCTCATGGACCCCTCCCATACCATGGGCTAGCTCAGCGTGCTGGTCCCCAAGCTCTCTGACCCAGGCGCTGTCTCTTCAGGCCCCTCGGGACGAGAGTCTGAATGGCCTGCTGGTGGGCTACCGCATCTACTATCGGGAGCTGGAGGCCCAGGTGGGGGCCGAGGCTGGGCCGCTGAAGAATCCGGCGGCCCTGCGAGCTGAGCTCACAGGTAGGAGCTTCCTCTCCTTGCCCCAGGTGCTACCTAGCACCTGCTCTGGACCCTCTCCCTCTGGAGAGCTTCTTGGGGTTGCCAGGCCTTTCCCCCAAGGTGTCTTTGAGCAGACTTGAACCTCCCACCTGTTGAGTGTAAATGACATTCACCAAGCCCACTCAGCGGCCAGCTGGGAGTGGGAAGGAGGGGGGCAGGAGACAGAAAACGCCAGTGGAGCCCTCCGTGCCCCCTGCTGCTCTTTAAGACCAGGCTTCCCTCCTGGGTGTGCTTTGCACAGTAGCCGGTTCGAGGGCAGCCGGCCTAAGATCCCAGGACAGAAACGTCCTGCCAGATGGAGACTAGGGGGTTACAGGTGGGGGTGGAGGCGGTGGGGCTGGACAGTGGGGTGACCAGGTCTCTGCTTTGCTCACTCCTTAGCTCATGGCAGCTTCAAGATGGTCAACAGCAGCTCCACGCTCACCACCTACGAGTTAGCACGTGAGTCTGTCCTCACACACACCCACCACCACCACCACCACCACCCCTCCAGGCCTCCCATGGCAGGAATGGAAACTTCTGGAAGCAGAGGCTGGGGATGGCAGTGTCTGACACCTGGTCTTCTTTGTTGGCTGGGACATAAAGGACATCAGGGGAGGGGCCCAAGCACAGGTTTCCTGCTTGGGGTCCCCAAACCAAACCAGACCCACTACCTTCATGTTACTTCCAACTCATAGCAACCCTACAGGACTTAGTCGAGCTGCCCCTGGGGTTTTGAGGCTGAATCTCTATGGGAACAGAAGCCTCTTCTTTCTCCCACAAACTGGCTGGTAGGTTTGAACCTCTGACCTTTTGGGTAGCAGCCTACACTCAACCACCACCATGCCAGACTCCCTTCAAGTCTAGCCACAGCCGTTTTCTAGTTGGGATGGGCTCCCCCTCTCCCACTTCCTGTTCTGTGCCAGACTGAACGCCCCTGCACTTCATCCAGGCCGCCCTCCTCGCCCCACTCACCTCGTTCCCTGTCCCTCTGCTCATTCACCTCTGCCTTAGTCACCTGGCTGTGAAGGAGATACCACACGGGGAAGGCTTTGACAAACAGAAGTTTTCTTTTTCACCTAGAAGTCGACTCTGGGTGCTGGCTCCTGGGGAAGGTTCTCTCTCTCTCTCTCTCTCTCTCTCCCACTGTCGCCTCCATTGGTGGGTTCTGGGGGAAAGGAAAGTCTTTGCCTCTCTGCAGCTTCTGTTGCTTGGCTCCTTGGTGATCTTGCCACCCTGCAAGATTCTGCATATACCCCCCCACCCCTGCCCCTCCATCCTTCTCTCCTGTTTCATTAAAAAACAAATGCTCTGCTCCTTAATTCCACCCTGGGGCCCTGACTCCGTCTGCTCGGAAATGCCTCCCCGCTCCTTCCAAAAGATCAGGCCTCTCGCAGCGCAGGGCTCTAAAGGGCCAAGTCCATGCGAAGCGTCTCTCTGAATGACACAGACCCATGTTAAAGGGAGACCAGCTCAGGTTTCCTGATTTCCTCCGCACTGGGGGTGCCTGCAGGTGTCGTGGGGGCCCTGGGCAGTCCGTGTGGTGGTGGGGTTCTCGGCAGTGGTGCGAAGAGCTGTCAGCATTCAGTTCCCACCTCACTTTGATTTCTGTGTCTATAGAAATTGTAATAGTTTTATTGACGTGTTTTTCACACAATCCAATGGCTTCAACATTTGAAAGAGCGGTGTAGTCATCACCACAATCCATTTTAAACCATGTCCCTCATTTTTGTCCTGCTTTCCAGCTCCCCATGTCCCCACCAACCTCCCCTGCTTTAACCCCAAGAAACCATTCATCCAGTTGGCTGTCTCTGTAGATTGACCTGTCCTGGATTTCATATAGGCAAAAACAGACCAGAAACAACAACAACAACAAACCCCAAGAGCCACAACAAAATAAAACCAAAAAAACTCAAATTGACCAAAGGAAATACTAAAGGGTAGCGCAAATCTAAAATGGGTCAAAAAAGGAGAAGAAACAATCAGGTGTAAAATGTTATCCTAACTACATCCGTGTTCATCCACACTCCCACCCACCCTGACCGAGGACTAGGTGACCACCTTCCGGGTCCAGAGTAGAGGGGATTCTCCCGAGGTTTCATCCACGTGGGGACCCTGCACTGGCTGTTGGACTCCACCGTCATCCAGAGCCTTCTGCAAACTGCATGCTCAGGATTTATGCTCTAAGTCCACTCTCTCCCCTACCCCACCCCAGTCTCGGATTTCATTATTTACATATATTTTAGCTACCGCTGGCGATCCACGGTATGGGGTTTTCTTAAGGTCGGTCTTGTTCACATCACTTTCCGTGGCTGGGAACCCAACCACAGTATCTCCGAGGTCGGCCTGCGCTTGGCCCGTGTGTTTCAAACGATGTGACAGTCACCAGAAGGGGTCAGGGCCATGGCTCTGTGTCGGGGTGGCACTTCAAATGGGCTCCTCTGTGAAAGAGGCTAGCTACCCCAACCCCTCCCCAGGGACCCCCAACCCTGCAGAGGTGGATTACCCAGTAAGCAACTGCACCCCAGCTCATTGTACACGAGCCCTCATGTGCTCATACTCTTAAGCGCAGCAACGACTGCTCCGGGTGTCCCACCTCCCACCTCCCACCTCCCAACGAAGTCTCACTGCCATGGGCCATTCAGACTCATAGCGACCCTGTGTAGTGACCCTATAGGACAGGGGGCGCTGCCCCTGTGGGTTTCTTGATGAAAGTAGCAAATAGCCTCACCTTTCTGAGTTGGGCTGCTTACCAAAAGGTCAGCAGTTTGAAACCTACAGCAGCTCCATGGGAGAGACGGAGCTTTCTCCTCCCGTAAAGAAGTGCAGTCTCACGGGGCCCTGTGCTCTCGGGTTGCTGTAAGTCCACGTTGACTCAGTGGCCGTCAGTTTGGGTTTTTGTTTGTTTGTTTGTTTGCTTGCTTGCTTTCACCTGCAGAGCACAAAGACAGGCTGGAAGTGCTGGGGCAGATGGGACAGTATGCCCAGCTAAGGCCATGCCCATGTGCCTACACAGCCTGCTGGACATGATTGCAGGGAGGTGTCAGGGGAGGTTGGGAGATGGTCCCGATGTGCATTGACCCCTGGCCACTCTGACCTCACAGATCTGAAGAAATACCGGCGCTACGAGGTGATCCTGACCGCCTACAACATCATTGGCGAGAGCCCAGCCAGCTCCCCCGTGGAGGTCTTCGTGGGAGAGGCGGGTAAGTGTGGGGAGGGAGAGTTCACGGCGGGTGCCCCGAGGCCACAGGTGTCACGTCCAGTGTGCCCTGCTTCACTGACCAGCAGGGAGAGGACTCTAAACCCAGTTGGAAGAGGCCAACTCGGCCGAGTGTTAACTTCCTAACCAAAGACATGCTGCATGACTCAGCAGGAGAATTCTCAAACACCATGCATGAGACCCTGGTTCAATTCCCAGCAGTGCCCCTCGCACAGTCGCCGAGATTTGCAGTGATGTGAGTTGTTGTGACACATCTGGTTGTGCCAGGAATGCCAGACTAAGAGACTAGGAAGAAAGACCTGGCAGAAAGGACACTGAGCATCCTTCCTGCTGAGACTCCGTACTTAGTCTGTGTGCAGAACTGGCTACACAGGCCCTTTGCCTGCTTGTCGTTGGGCAGTAGGAAAGGGCGTGTTTCCCAGGCAGCCAATGAGATGATGGGTGCATGACATCACCAGAGGGATCATTGGCCCCTGCCAGTGGCAGCAGGCACAGGACCAGTGCCGGGCTGTTCTAAACAGAGCTGCTGAGATATCTTCTCTAGCCTCCCTGATTCTTTCTCCCAGGATGAGATGCCAGATGCAGGGGTTCTGGCTCGATGGGTATAGACACTGTGCCCCTGAGAAAAACCTCCAGGAACAGACAGTGGGCAGCCAGTGAGCAGCCGAGCATGCGGGTCCCGGGGCACCTGGGCAGTGTTGCAGGATCCCCATCCCTCACTTTTCCATCTCTCCTAGTTAGTTACATGAAAGGTACCACTCTAGAGTTGCAATAAACACAGAAATTTGTAATCAAGCAAAAACTGAAACCAAGCAAGCAAACAAGACGCACTGGCATCCAGTCAATGCCAACTCACAAGTGACCCTACAGGCAGGTGACAGTTGGACATTGAACAAGGAAAACTGAAGGACTGACTCATTTGAACTGTGGTGCTGGCAAAGAATATTGGAAATTCCAGGGGCCACCAAAAGCAACAGATCTGTCTTGGAAGAAATACAGCCAAAGTGCTCCTTAGAGGCCAGGGTGGCCAGACTTTGTCTCACATTCTGTGGACATGCGGTCGGGAGAGACCAGTCCCTGGAGAAGGACGTCGAGTCGGTACAGCAAGGGGCAGCAAAGAAGAGGAAGGACCTCCACGGGTTGGGTGGACACTGGGCTGCCGCGCGGGCGCAGGCACAGGGCCAATCGTGGGGGTGGCGGGACCGGGCAGGGTTTCATTCTGTGGGACAGAGGGTCACTATGGGTCAGAAGCAGCTCGATGGCATGTGACAACAGAGAAAGTAGGAACTTCATCTGTCTCCTGAGGAGCAGCTGGTGAGTGCGAACCACTGTCCTTGGGGTTCGCGGACCAGCGTGCAAACCACTGCACAACCTCACGGCCCTCCAGTCAATTCCGACTCGTGATACGGCCCCGTGGCTTCCTGAGCCTGTAACTCGTTACGCGAGTAGAGAGCCTCCTTGCAGTTAGCAGTGTCACAGGCACTACCTACCAACCTTTTCGAGCAAAAGGTTGAAATACAGCAAAGGTCACACAATAAACCAAGTCATGCAGATTTTCTGGTTCCTCGCTTCAGAGAAAGGAGGCCTGGTGATGCTGCCAAGCAAACTGCAAGGCGGGCGGTTCAAACCCCCCAGCCTCCTCGTGGGGGAAAACTGAGGCTTTCAGCTACCGTGAAGAAGGAGAGCCTCAGAAACCCTGCTAGGGATGCATGCTGGGAGCCAGCACCCCTCACAGCAGCTGGTGGGTTCAAACTGCTGGCTTCGTGGTTAGCAGTGCTAAACCACTGCACCACCAGGGTAGCCCCACTCCGTGCTCTGTGAAAAACACCTTATCTGCAAAGAGTGGCCAAGTGGATTGGATGAGACAGGTTCTCCTGTGAGGTGGTTCGTGGGGTGGCCCCAGCGCTTTCATGGTGCAGGGTTACTGCCTAGATATTGCAACTCCTCGCCTCACTCCAACTCCACCCATGTGGTGGGGCTGAAGCTCCAGAAGAATGTTACCTATCTGTCGTTGGGCGCCGGTGAGTCAAGGACAGAGGAGGAGTGTCCACCCCACCCCCACCCCCGGGGCCTGCTGTGCTGCCACCTGTACGGGACCAAATTGCTAGGTCTGTCTTCAACAGAGCAGCTGGTGGATTCGAACTGCTGATTTTGTGTTAGCCTCTGAGGGCCTCACTACTGCCCCACGCCCACCCCCAGGGCTTTTCATGAACCACAACCGGCACCAGCAAACAGAGGCACTTGCTGGTCAGTTCGACCGGCCTGTCCCCTAACGTCCAGCACCCGGGCAGTCTCCTCTCTGATGTCTCAGCTTTGCTCCAGGAGCAGAAACCGCCGGACACCCGGCTCTGCGTGGCTCCTGGATGCGTCATTAGCGTGCCCTGGCACTGGGATTATGTTGTGGGGGGCGGCATTGCTTTGCAAGACAGGAAAGTTACGTTGAAATGACAGGCTTGTCGACATTTGTTCAGTAGTGGTTTCCTTTTAAGAACAAGAAACATATTGCAGCATGTGGGCTCTGTCTTTCCACACACGAGTTCTTAATTACGGTACTTGTGGATGGGAGGGGAGAAAATAAGCCCGTGCCTGGCTGTGTTAGCTCCCCCTAGTGACAAATAAAGCCAATCCCAGCACCCATTAAGTGAAATTAAAAGGGCTCTGAGCTGCATGCGCCCGGAAATATGTGTTTCTAAGGAAGAGTGGCTGGCAGGGGGTCTGCGGGGCGGTGACTGTGGTTACCACACAGTTTGTGGGGAGGCCAGGAGGGTCTTACAGAGTTACAAAAACCTCGGGCAGTTCTCATTCCCACGGCCACCCCCTCTGCCGGTGCTGGGGGCAGGTAGAGGTGTGGGCTATGTCTGACATTGCTGACGGTGCACGCTTCACGAGGAGAACCTGTTGGGTGCTGAAAGGACCCCTGGGGGCATAGTGGTTATGCCTGGGGCTGCTAACCCGGCCATCAGTTCAAACCCACCCACCACTCTTTGGGGGGAACATGAGGCTTTCTACTCCGTAAAGAGTTACAGGCTCGGAAAGCCAAGCGGACAGTTCTGCCCCGCTCTACAGGGTCCCCGTGAGTCTGATAATCAACTTCAGGGCAGGGAGGGTCTCTGTCCTGAAGGACCCCCTGGCTCAGTGGTCAAGCACTTGATAGTCCTCATAGGTTCTCATGGGAAGGCAGGACCAGGGGCCAGGGCCATCAGACATCATGACAGATCCTGCCTCCAGCTGCCTGCCCATCACCCATCCATGCCCTGCATGCTAGAAGCAGGCTCCTAAGTACACCCTGAGGGAGTGGCAGGGCACGACCTCTCACAGGCAGGGGAGGGTTAAACCGGAGACTCCCTCAGAGATAAAGCAACCCGAGCAGAGGGGCTACATGGTGGGCACATATCCAGCTAGCAAAGCGTGACCCCACCTGCTTCGGGCTCCAGAAGCCCCGGAAGATTCTGGACGGGGATTGGCGTGGGGGTGAAGGCATGCGAGCTGAGTCTCTGGCGACCCTGAATCAGCTGGAAACCATGACCATCCAGTTCACCTCGACTCTGGGCCACACCATGGGCTCCTGTGCTACAGGCAGACCCCAGCTCCCGAGGAGGCTGGTGTCAGGGGCGAGCAAGGGCAGGGCGGGGGAGGCTTGGTGGCCATCTTAAAAAAAAAAAAGTAAAATGTCACTGTTTCTGATGCGGATGACACAGTGAGTCAGCTCCCCACCCCGCCACCCACCCACCCCCGCCTGAGATGGCTCCCACACCAAAGCCTCTGCCCCAGGATGCTTCCACCGTGTGCCAGCCCCTCCTCTGTGGCTTCTGGTGGCTCCGTGTCTGATACTCTAGTTTCCCTCGGCCCCTGCTGGTCTTCTCACCTTTGCTTCCGAGTCAAGAATCCACTGTGGTCCGGCCAGCTCAGATGCTGCAGGACAGACCCAAACATCCTGTAGGGGTTGCACGGCTGTGGTCCTTACAGAAGCACACAGCTTCTTCGGCTTCTTCTGCTCCGGCGGAGCAGCAGGTGGGCTCACACCACAGGTGTTCGTGTTCTAGGGGCCCCAGGAGGCAGCACCCACCGCCTGAAGCTGCTGGCTGTGCCATTAGGGCTGAGGCAGGCTCTCCTTAAAACCAGGTAGACGCTGCGTCTGGGATCCCCAAGGGGGACCGCTCGCTGCCAGCAAGTCCACCTGGCCGGGCGGCAACCAGCCACTCCCAGGGGCCAGGTTCACTGGGAGGGAAACCCACACATGTCACTCCATGTTCACACACGCGTGTGATCTCCACACAGCCTCACCGGTGCTGTGTCTAGAACTCCATGCTGCAGCCGCATGGCTGGGTACTCGGGGCCACCAGGGCTCCTGACATATATATACACATGCACATATGCACGCGTACACTCATGCACACACTTTCAGCCTGGGGACATGGGGACAAAAGTGCCACTCTCCATCCAAGGTGGGGCTGAGGGCTTGTCAATCTCCATGAGAAATCACATGACCCAGAATTGGGGGGGGCGGGGGGGCAGGAGGGGTTACCAAGCAGGCAGAGGGAGCCCAGGTGGCATAAAGGTTAGACGCTTGGCTGCTCAGCACAAGGTCAGCAGTTCCAACCCACCAGTGGCTCCACAGGATAAAGATCTGGGGACTGCTTCTCTGACGGTGACCGCCTGGGAAACCCTGTGGGCAGCTCTGCTCCGCCCAGCGGGGTGGCCGCAAGCCTAAATTGCCCCCTGGCATCAGACAACAGGAGCTCCTGGACTTTACCAGGCCCAGGGTCCACTTCCTTCTCACCGAGGCACCTGGGCAGGCACCAGGGTGGCTGAGTCATGGAGAAGGGGCTCTCGTGGCAGGGTGGTTACGTGGTGGGCTGCCAACTGCAAAGTCAGCAGTTTGAAACCACCAGCCACTCTTTGGAAGAAAGGCGAGGCTTTCTGCTTCTGTAAAGAGTGACAGCCTCAGAGACCCACAGGGGCAGTTCTACCCTGTCCTATAAGGTCACCAAGAGTCAGCATCAGCTTCATGGCAGTGAGTTTCTTGTAGAATACAATCTCACCCTTCACCACACTACCCTCTAACTCAGGGGTCGCCCGATTCATCACAGTAGCAAAGTGACAGTGATGAAGTAGCAACCACAATAATGTGATGGTTGGGGGTCAGCACCACAGGCGGAGCTGTATGAAAGGGTCGCGGTGTGAGGAAGGTTGAGAACCACGGCTCTAGCCTAAGGAGCACTGGTAGTGCGGGGGTTTATGCCTTGGGCTGCCAACCACAAGGTCAACGGCCACTCTGAGGGAGGAAGACGAGCTGTCTGCTCCCCGAAAGAGTGACAGCCTCGGAAAACCACAGGGGCAGGTCTGCCCTGTCCTGTAGGGTCCCTGTCAGAGTGGACTGGGTTGCAGTGAGTGAGTGAGTGAGTGGGTGAGTCAGTTGAGTGAATGAGTTGAGTGAGTGAGTGAATTGAGTGAATGAGTTGAGTGAGTGAGTGAATGAGTTGAGTGAGTTGAGTGAGGGTGTAGGTGAGTGAGTTGAGTGAGGGTGTAGGTGAGTGAGTTGAGTGAGGGTGTAGGTGAGTGAGTTGAGTGAGTGAGTGAATTGAGTGAGTGAGTTGAGTGAGTGAGTGAGTTCAGTGAGTGAGTGAGTTGAGGGAGTGAATGAGTTGAGTGAGGGAGTGGGTGAGTGAGTTGCGTGAGTGAGTGAGTGAGTTGAGTGACTGAGTTGAGTGAGCTGGTGAAATGGGAGAGAAACTGGGGATGGGGGGGGGGGAGAGGCAGCCCGGTGAAGCCGCTCCTGCGGTAATGGCCCTGCTCCACCCGCCTCTCTGACTGTGACCGTGCACAGTCGCTTTGCGACAGTTGCCGACGGCAAGCAGGCAGCAGCAGACATTAGCTTTATTTATGTTTTGGATTATTAATGCGGCTGTTAAAAATCCCCCCAGTTAGTTTTGATTGAATTGTTTTTCTGCGCGATTCTGCGGTTTAATGGAGCGGTAAATAAGAATTCCTGATAATGAGGTGGAGCATCTGCCCGACAGCCTGGCGTGGGTGATTACTGCGCTCGGGCGCGGGCAGGCCCAAGGAGGAGCCTCGGCCGCACACTTAGAGCAAAATAAACAGTGGCGTCAAGCTGAGTGGGCGTTAATTATGATTTTACTGCTCGTGGGGCAGGAGGGGGCTGAGAGCGGTGGGTGGGGAGGAGGCGAGGAGAAAGGGTGACTTCTGGAGGTCACCCCTCCCATGGGCTGCTGGGTCTGCCCCGTTCCCCGAGAAGGGCTTCGGCTTACAATTCACAAACAGACCATAAGGAGTTCCCCGGGAGGCCGAGGGTTCAAACCCACCAGCTGCTCCCAGGGAGAACGATGAGGCTTTCTGCTCCCATAAAGAGTGACCGCTTCAGCAACCCCAAGGGGCAGTTCTACCCTGTCCTGCAGGATCTCTGGGAGCCAGAATGGACAAGATGGCAGGAGGTCTCAGTCACAAGCCCTAGCAGTGATCAAGGCACCTGAGAGGGAACCCCACCAAAATCAGGCTGCCCTCCTCCCACCCACCAGAGCTGGCACCTAGCAACATCAGACTCTCCAGGGCAGCTCTGGAGGGTGGCTTCATTGGGGGGCACAAATGGGGAATGCACTCACCACACACCTGAAGGCCGTTGGTTTTTGTCCACCCATAGGAGCCTCGGAATAAAGGCCTGGCTGTCTGCTCTTGAAACGCCAGCAGAGACGAGACGGTGCAGAGCACAGTTGCACTCTAACACAAGGGGGCGCAGTGGGTCCTCTCTCGCGTTACATTGTTTCATACCTACATGTTGCAAACACAGGCATGACTGGGCGTTGCTTTGTTTCCAACCCTTTGGCCCCTCGCATCTCTGAGAGACCCACTTTCTGTGTACTCCCTGCATTGTATTTCTCGGCCTTAAAGCTGTTATTCCAAGAAGGGCCCTGGCACAGGGAGGCCATGGGGAGGCCAGGGTCAGTGGCCAGTGAGGACACTCTCCCCCACGCTGGGTCGGTGAGTGCCCCTCAGCCTTCTCATTTGCTCTCTCCACAGCCCCAGCGATGCCCCCCCAGAGTGTGCGTGTGAACCCCCTTACAGCCAGCCAGCTGGAGGTCACGTGGGACCCACCACCCGCTGAGAGCCAGAACGGGAACATCCAGGGCTACAAGGTGAGTGGGGTCGGTGGGTCCTGTGCACATATGCCCCCCCCTTGGACATGGCACAAATGGCCTTGTCCACTGGCCTCAGAATCCAGCTTCTGGCAGGGAGGTGGGCGGGCTCCTATCCTCTGCCCTCACCGAACACGGGACGTGTGATCAAGCCCATTCCACCCCAAAGCCACCCGGTCTAGAGGACAGAGTCGAACTGCCCTGTGGGGATTCAGAAGCGCCACGTCGGCCCTGAGGCCCCACACCTGAGAGAGTCGACCACCAAGGGGATGAGACAGAGAAAATGCTTCTTAGCCAATCCCTTTGGACAGAGAGGGGCTAGGGGAGGCGGCCAGCTGGGAGAGGGGTGCCAACCCCCCGGAGATCACCCTGCTCCTGGGGCCACAGAGCTTCCGAACTCGAGAGGATGCCCGGAGTTCACACCTGCTGGACCGCAGTCTGGCCTTACCTGTCTTCTTCCCAGTAGGCTCACAGAGCAGGGCCGATTGGGGTGTTAAGCCCAAACCAAACGCATTGCCAGCTAGTCAGTTCTGACACCTGATAACCCTGTGGGTTTCTAAGACTGCAACGCTTTCTCACAAGGAACTAGCTGGGGTTTCGAACTGCTGACCTTGTGGTTAGCAGCCCAACTTGTGACCACTATGCAACCAGAGCTCCTCTTTGGGCAGGTTGGATGTCCACTTAGCGAGGACATCCTGGGGCTTCTTATGGGCCCTGGGCAGGCTGTCGCTGTGACCAAGGTGGTCCCTTGAAGCCAGGGTCACGTGAGCACCAAGCTCCCAGGCCAGGTGCTATTGTGTAAGCCCCACCCCTCTCATCCCCCACACCACCGCCACCTTCTCTAATTTCCTTGAAGACAAAGCACATTGAGCCCGGTGTTGATCTCAGGGCTGCCGGGCCTGTGCGGGCAGCGGCGGTTGTCTATTCAGTGTGGCAGTGGGCAGAGGGTAGCCTGCATCTCACAGGGCCAGGGCCTCACCTACAGGACAGGTGGTTGAGAAGCTGCCCAATGAGCACTGTTGTGGGACCACCACAGTTTGCCTGTGTGGGGGTAAACTGCTATCGGGGTCAGCTTGGGGACCACCCCCCAAGGGTGTCTTGGGCAGTGTTGTTGCCTGGCACCAGGCAGCAGCTTTCTGGCCAGCTATCTCAGAGTGATGCCAGCAGACCTGGGTGCTTTTGAGAAGAGTCTTCCCAGGTGCCTGGGGAGGCAGAGAGGGTAAGTGGTATCCAGGGGGCCTCAGGGCCTGACTCAGCCTCCAGCAACAGGGTCTCATCTCCCACGTGCCCTGTCTGGAGCACCAAACACAGAAAGTGGGTGCAAAGGGCAGACCTGGAAGACCAGCTCTGGCCCTGGATGGGGACATGGGACACTACCTCCCTCCAGGAAAAGGCAAGGGCCTCAGGAAAAGGGATCCTGCAGGTAGCCCTCGTGCAGTGTGCCCACCACCCTCTGATGCCCTGTCGAGAGCACCATTTCTTTCACCAGACAACGCCTGGCCTCCGGATGGCTGCCATGGTCCAGCTCCTCGCCCTCGCTCCCCTGGGGAGGGCTGACCCTGAGGGAGGGCTGACCCAGAGCACTGGAGGACCACCTCCGCTCTGCCCTCAGGCGCCTGCTCCTACCCCGTGTCCCCATCGGCAGATCTATTACTGGGAGGCAAGCAGTCAAAATGAGACGGAGAAGATGAGAGTCCTGTTCCTCCCTGAGACGGCCGTGAAGCTCAAGAACCTGACAAGCCACACCCAGTACCTGGTCAGCATCTCCGCCTTCAATGCCGCCGGAGACGGGCCCAGCAGTGAGCCCCGGCCAGGCCGGACACAGCAGGCGGGTAAGGCCAGTGATGGGTCTGCCCAGGGCCTCTGTAAGGTGGGGGCCTTGATGTCAGGACAGTGCTATTGGAACAGAAAGGCTGGGAGTGGGTAGAGCCCCCGAGCACCCAGCTGCTGCTGGGAGAGCCCATGTGCAGCGCTGCCTCCGCCCCAGCCCCTCCATGTCTAAGCATCGCCATCTTCTTGGCTCTGAACGGGAGGGTCTGGGTTTGGGGATGGCCCCCCGAGTCGTGTGTGTGTGTGTGTGTGTGTGTGTGTGTCATTGCCTTGGGAGAGGCTTGTTGCCTGGTCTCTGGGAACCTACAGTGATCCCCCCTGCCCCCATGCTCTGTCCCCCAGCTCCGGGTGCCCCCAGCTTCCTGATCTTCTCAGAAATCACCTCCACCACTCTCAACGTGTCCTGGGGTGAGCCGGCCGCTGCCAACGGTATCCTGCAAGGCTACCGGGTGGTGTACGAGCCCCTGGCACCTGTCCAAGGTAAGATGGCCAGGCAGGGGATAGGGGTGAGCCTCACCTGGTGGTGCAGTGGGTTACCTGCTCAGCTGCTAACTGAAAGGTCAGTGGCTCAACCCCACCCGCCGCCCTATAAGAGAAAAGATGAGGCAACCTCAGGCCCCTAGTGGGTAGTGCTACTATGTCCTGTGAGCAGACTCTTGCTAACCCAAAGGCCGGCGGTTCAATGCCACCAGCTGCCCTGCGGGAGAAAGATGAGGCTGTCTGCTCCATAGAGATGTTCAGCCTGGGAAGCCCTATGGGGCAGTTCTGCTCTGTCCTGTGAGTCAGGACAGACGCAGCAACCAAGCAACAGCCTTTGCGGAAGCCTGGCTGTGTGCACCCTGGGCAGCCCGACCTGCGCCTCCCTTCCCAGCTCGCAGTGGAGGGTGACCGGCGTGTGCTCCCCAGGGACCGGGCCGCTAACCACAAGCACTCTGCGGGAGAAAGAGGAGGCTTTCTTGCTTCTATCAAAAGTTAGTCTCAGGAACACACAGGGCCAGGTCTACCCTGACCTGTAGGGTCGCTGTGAGTCGGAATCCACTCGGTGGCAGTGGGCTTGGTTTGGGAATGATTAGAAGAATGAGCAAATCGGTCTTGGAGGAAGTACGCCCAGAGGGCTCCTTAGCGGCAAGGATGGCCAGGCTCCGCCCTGAGTTCTTTGGGAGGTTGTCTAGAGAGACCGGTCCCCAGAGAAGGGCATCATGCTTGGTGCGGCAGAGGAGCAGCGGCACAGAGAATGCCCTTCAGCAAGATGGGATGACGCAGTGCTTCCCCCACGGGCTCAACCCTAAGAACCCGGGTGCGGAGGGTCGGGACAGGGCATGGTTTTGCCCCTTGTGCAAGAGCTGCTAGGGCCAGAGGCAGTTCTGTGGCCCGTAACCACAACCACAGTGTGGCTTTGAAGGACCACGAGTCGGGCGGGCTGTGTCCACTGGCCAGTCAGACGTCCCCTGGATGACCAACACATGGGGAGCAGCCAAGATGATGGATCGTGGCGTGTGCAGGAGGGAACATAGAACACCCTCAGATGACAGCGGTCCCCCACTTTCAGCAGTAATGACTGGGTCCCTGCACATGCCCTTGGGTGGAATAGGGGCAGGGGAAAGGAAGGGTGATCCGAATTGAAGCACACAGGTTTCCTTCTTGGACTCTGGGTGCCCCCTGACGGTGTGAGGGGCCATGGGAGATGAGAGTCCGCCGGTGTCTCCAGCCGCTCTGAGGGAGGAAGACAAGGCTTCTACTCCTATGAAGACTGACAGTCCGGAAACCCACAGGGGTCACTCAGACTTACCATCAGCTGGATGGCAGTGAAATTGGGGTTTGTTCTTCACTTTCGGTGTTGTTGTGGGCGGCTCTGCATGGGCACCACGTCCCCAGTGACCAGTGTGGTGGTCCCTGTGGTCCCCACCCTGAGGCTCCTCCTCCCAGCCCTCCATCCCACTGCCCACTGCGAGCAGAGAGACCAGGGCTTGTGGCTCACTGGGTTGCCACCTTCACTGGGGCTCCCGCTCCCCTGTCACCTCCAGTCTGACCAGCAAGCTCACCCACCCCGGCCCATGCCACCCCGGCCGCTGTGACAGAAATGCCACAAGGAGGGGGCTTTCACAAACAGGACATTATTTTCTCACCCTCCGGGAGGCTGGAGGTCTGAATGCAGGGCAACAGCTCCCCGGAAGGCACTCTCTGTGTCTGCCCTGGGGGACGTGAGCTCAGGCTGTTGGAAAAACAGTCTCACTGGCTTACTGGAGGCAGGGAGGCTGCACACTTTCTGTGTGTGCCAAAGGGGAGCCCCCAGGGCAGAGGGGGCA